CCCCAAAACCCCAAAACCCCAAAACCCCTAAAGATTAAATTCATATTTATAAGAGAGGAACTGTGATATACATTATATTAATATAATAAGGTAGATTATCTTTAATAAAATGGAACAGAATAAGGATATTTTTTAGACTCTTCAGCCATTGTAGATTCTTGATAAAACTTATGAAAGACCGCCTATAAATAAAAATTTCTTGAGATTATATGGCCATCATCTTTGCCCATATGTTGAAAAAGCAAGATTAGCTTTATTAGCTAAAAATTTGGCGTATCAAGATGTGCAAGTCAATCTAGAAAGAAGGGCCAAATGGCATTATTTGCTTAATGAAGGCTTTTTGCCAATTCTTGAGACTCCACAAGGCAACACTATTCTGGAATCTAGAATTATTATGGACTATGCAGAAGAAGCATTTCCAAAGGAAGGAGTGAAACTCTATTCTAGTGACCCAGAGGAGAAAGCCTATTAATAAATGATAATGAAATTTTTCGATGACGTAGCTTCAGCTATGTTTGAGGTAGTGCTTTCACATGGTACATCAAAAGCAGGAGCTTAAAAATTACACAAAGTTTTTAGCAGACTAGAAGCTCTACTGAAGCAATCATCGACTCAATTTTTCAATAGCCAAGATAAATACACAATGGTTGATATCTTTGGTTTACCTCATGTCTCAAGAATATTTTATTTAAAAGACTCCGCTTTAAACTTTTTATACGAAGAAGAAAAAATAGAAGAGAAATATCCAAAACTCAGATAATGGGTTTATCACATGAGAGCTTAGCCAGAAATATGCTAAGAAAAAGGTGGAGTAATCATAATAAAAGCCTTTTAGCTTTGGACTGAGGAACTTATTACTCTACCAAAAGGTACCAAACCACCTCTCAGAATCCCTATGAAGCTTTGAATTAGATATATCTATCAGAATATAATATGCCATGATCATCTGAAGTTATGTATGAATGAAAGAGATAAAAATTAAAAATCTCATTTGAATGACAATCTACTTAATAATTAATTATATTAAGTGATTTATTAGATTATAATTATTTTAAGTACTGAGAGATCTCTCATGTTTCGATGTTGTATGAGCAAAACACAAAAAAGAATGGCAGATTACAATAGAGTAGGAATAACGAATATTGAAGAAAGCAATAACAACTCTTTGAGATTTCGTTTTCCAGAAATAAAAATCTAAGTTATTAACAAAGCAAAAATACAAATAAAACTACCTTAATTATAAAGTTAAGACGAGATGAATGATTTGAATACTGCTACCAAAAGAACGTGGAACAAAAAACCCTATGAATTAAAGAATTTCAAGGATGATGTCACTATCAATTTTGAATAAAGCACCACCTATATGAATTTGGTTGAGAGAAGTAAATAAAACGAGCTAGATAAATATGACATGTCATTTGAGAATATTAAAACATTATAGAGAACCTAGAGGAAAAACAGAGAATCTAGCAATAATTTTATTATAATAACATAAGAAATAAAAAGCCCGAAATGTTAGAGCAGGCAACGAAGCAGTTAAAGTATTTCAAGAAAAAGAAGAATCGTTCAATCTATCATAAATGATTCAGATATTAATAATTTGGATTATGAGAATTTTACAAGTAATTCTCTCATAAGCAGCAATCAACTTGATGAGAGTGTTTATGATGCTTAAAGGATAAGAGATCTATAAAAAATAAGAACTGAAAGCTAATCACAAAAGAATTAAATATCTACCTTTGCCAAAAACAGAAACATTTAAAAAGGAACAAATTCCCCAAAGAATAAATCCATTATTATAGTAAAAAATGAAAATTAAATAGTTCAAACCTTAAAGCATTTTGAATCAGCTTAACAAATATCCAATACTTAGTTTCACACATCTTAAGCACTTCCATATTTGAGAAATATCAAAAACATACAAAATTCCAATAATTTATCAGAAAGTTATAGTAGCTCTGATTGGATCACTTACGAATCATGATAACAGTGATTAAATAAAAGTATGAATCAATATTAAAAATCAGCAATATGGATATAAGAATGTTTACTATCTTCCTTTTTCATTTTTAAAGCTAGAGATAATTATCAATCTTATTAGTATGTATATTATCTATAAATTATCTACTATTTTAAAATATTTCACGAAAATCTATCTATATACTAAACAAAATATTCTTTTGGGGTTTTGGGGTTTTGGGGTTTTGGGGTTTTGGGGTTTTGGGG